TGCTCTATGTTCTATCTTGTTCACCTTGTTGTTTGTGCTAAAGCAAAAAACAAAAACAATAATCGAACAAAGAGGCCTGTTTTCCATGCTAGTTAAGTGGCATACAGCTGACTTACAGGTTGCTTATCAAATTGATTTTTTGGTCAGTACTAAATGTTTTTACTTGTAGAAGCTTTTGCCCAAAGGACAATCTTCACAAATACTGATGATTGATCATTTAATATAGCGTCTTAAAAAGGACAAGCTTAGCTCAGGTGCTTTGTCCATTTATAACGGGGCCACAATATTTCAGTCAGTAGATTTCCAAGCACTCATTATGGAGCACCTCTTTATGGGTTTAAACATAGTTTGTTCCTTGGGGTTCTGTTATATTGATATTAATAATGGCATCAGTGCTGGTGCTGGCTTGTTCTGTTTAGTAGCTTCTTTCCTTCCTGCCATTAAAATCATTCCCTAAGGTACCCCTAAATTATCCATTACTTGACTAGACACCTTTGATTCCTGCTTAATTAAGTGACAACTGGTATTACTGTAGATCATTTTGTTTATCATATTTTCTTAACACATACAAATCTTAAAACATTTCAAGTAATGTATTTCACCCATATTCTAACTGGTGTTCAGAGTTGTTAAAAGTATCAGCGTTTATTACTCAAGTAGAAGTATAAACCCTTCTGTTACAAAAACATTTTTGTAGTAGTGTTTTTGAAGTTAGAGTGTCATCTTAAACTGGTTAAGTTTAAGACCTCTTGGGGTTTGGGGTCATTTGGTGTTTCAGGCCTATGCAGAACATCAGGGGGGTCAAAGCATCTCCTTGGTATATTCCATTTTGGTTGGATTTTTGGAAGCTGTTTGGAGTTGGCCTTAAATGTGGTTTTCCACAGCCCATTGGAGTTTAAAGGGAAGGCTTTGAGAGTGCTGTTGATCATGTTCAGCTTCAGGCATTCCAGAATCCATGCATGCGGCAATGAGTCATAGGCTTTCTTGTAATCAACCCATGCTGTGCACAGGTTTGTTTGTCTGGTTTTACAGTCCTGATATGTGTTTTTTCAACCAGTAGTTGGTGTTTGGCTCCTCTGATATTTTTACAAATACCTTTCTGTGCCACTGTCATGTGATGATCCATGTGTTGATCCATCTTTGCAGGTATGATGCCTAACAGTAACTCCAATGTTGTGGAGAGACAGGTTATTGGCCAATAGATTGTTGGGAATGTTTCCTCTAGGGATCTTTCATTATCAGGACTGTTCAGCCTTAGGTCAGCCATGCAGGGTGTGTCCCGCCCTTCAGCAGCCAGGTACTTTGTGCTGCTTGGCATTAATGGAGAAAAGTCAGTTCCTTCCCATCAGTAGGTGTGGATAATGCCTGGACCTAGTGCTGATCAGTTTTTCAAAACTGAGTGTCTTTGTTGGAGATCTGTCATTGTTATGTAGTGGACCTTATTCAGGGAGGTTATTATGGTCAGCTCTTAGGTAATTTAGTGACTGTGCATCATTATTAGGTGATGCTTCTTTCTCCCAGATATTTTTCCAGCATTGATCCATCCCCAGCCTTGACAAGTTGGCTTGTGTATTGTTACCTTGCCACTGGGAGTATACTTTAGCCAGTTCAGTGGAGAAAGGCCAGTTTATTTACCTGCTTCATCTCTTTGGTGTACCTTTTCAGTCGGGCTACCAAGGCTTGGAGAATTTATTTGACAGTTTCCAGGGCATCTGTTTATATTTCTTCAGATTTCCATTGCTAGACGATCCCCTCTGAAGTTCTGAGTGTTGGCAAACATCTGGGTTGCCTTGAATTTGGCTTCTAACCTTCTCTGCCATGGTGGATATTGTCCTCCATGGGTGTTCTTGACTTTACCTTGGCAAGCAACTCAAGAATGTACTGTATATCAGCTTATCGGTTTCTGTAAAGGTTGTAGTATGGACGATAGTTGTTATGGTGTTTAGTTGTTAGTTCAAAAGGTGGATAGCAAGCCTCCATAGTTCCCACAGTCTTTCATATTACCACGTTGGTTAGGGTAACTGGAGTACTAGCATGCCAATAGTGCCTTTTTGAAAGTACTGTTTTAGGCTGCTTTGTAGAAAAAAAACATCTATTAAAGAAATTAATGAGGGATTTCTGTTTTTAAATACAATTTGAAAACAATTTCATCTCATTTTATCTCATCAATGCAACATTAAAATAGAAACTTAAAACTGACATCAAATGTCTACTATACCAAACAAAAAGATATCATAAATCAGTATTAAATGGGAAAATAAATTTGAAACAAGCCTTATTTCTTTCCATATTTTTTGAGCTTGATTTGGGCTTTTTTCAAAGTTCACCTAAAGGGGTCTCATATATATGAGTGATTCTGGTCTCCTGCTGGCTCTGCCTGAGGCAAACAGTCCTTGAATTTATTAGTCTGATAGCAATGTCAAGTCAGAACAAGAGAACAACTAATTTTGTCTTTAGCTCCCACCATGCTGAATGTCCAAGGAGTCTGTTTGCCTACAGGTTCTGTTTCATCACGGACAAGGCAGAAGCACAAACAGAATGAATGAAAAATCATACCCTCCTAATATGTAGTCGACAGCTCGGGTGAAGGTGTTTGGTGTTCTAAAATGCCAGTATATTTTGTTTAAAAAGCTTTATTTTCATCGTAAGTATCCAAGTCAAATATTTAAAGAAATAAAAAGAATGATAAACAATTAAATGGATAAATTAGAAGAATTCTAACAATTCCAACTATACAAGCTTTGCGAAGAGCAGTTAATTATCAGACTGAAAAAGTAGGACACGTTCTTTAGCCCAAAATACAAAACCAGGAGGGTGCTATGAGATGTGGTAAATAAGATTGTGAGTCAAATATCTAATCTACAAGGAATACATTTGTGATAAGGAAACAGTGAACTAGAGAGGGTTTTGTGACCTTTCAAAATTTAAACTGAAAACACATAAAGAATGGCAACAGCAATTTTAGTATTATATTTTTTATTTTAATTAATTGACTTACCTTCTTCCTTTTCCAACTCATTGTCAGCATTTTTCTTTGCTTCAATCAAATGTAGAAAATGGGAAAATATAAAGATGTTGGTATTTAATCTTTGAATACTTATCATCACTTAAGGATATGAATATATAAAGTTGCCTACCCTGATCAATATTTACGGAATGAAAAAGTAGCACTCATGAGTCACTAAAGTCCTCTTGACCGACATTTATATAACATAAAATGTTTGTAATTTTGAGCTTTTGTATCAGCCAGATTAAGACAGAAATGACAAACGTATTCTGGTTTGCATCACTCAATATTTGTTGTATTATCATTATTTTAGCTCTTATTATTTCATTTTGTTGTTGTCTCTCTCTTTCTGTATGCAGCCAACTGCCTTTACACAGACATCCTTGCGAATCTGCTGGAACATGGTATAGCTGACATTTACTCTGTTTTAGTGGGAATGTAATTAACAAAATGTATTTTGTTTTCTTTTAATGTCACTCTATTACTCAGCCACAGCTAGCATTTTTCAAGACAACAAAATTATCCAACATAAGAGGCATCATGAACATGACTTGAAAGTAGAGTTCCACAGTGACACTAATTCACTAGAAGAAAAGGCCAGTTTCAAATTAAAAGTTACGGCCAATAGAATTATGAGATGCAGCAAATTTAGTGATCCCTGTAGTATTTAATATCTATGGCTTCAAAAGAAACTTGTCACGTGTCACCACCACTTTCAGGCAAATTACTCTGTAATGGCACCATTTATCCATTTAGCCTCATTGAGTTCCATGCAATGTTGCTCTCAACAAGTTCTTTGCCCAATGGTAGATGTTTCAAGCACTTCACTGAAAGTGGAGGATTGAGAGGTATTCAGTTTTAAACTGTCTTGGACTGTAGTTAAAGTGATCAATGTCTAAATCAACTGAAGCTTTTTTTTCTGCATGGTAAATGCAATCCTATTTAAGCCGTTGATCTTCTAACGCTGTACTTGCAAAACAAAGTGGATTGTTCCATTTTCTTTTAAACACATTATAAATGTCTTAAATCAGTTTTTCTAAACTTCCACCCATTTACATTGTTGGATTATATGTATAAAATTGAAATATTCAATATATTGAATATTTAATATATGTATTTATTTATTTTGTTTTGCAAGTATTACGGCCAGCAAACTGTTGCCACAATACATAGGAAAGTTATTTTACATGGGTTTGGTTGCAGTGGACATGGACCCAGCAATTCAGAGCTGAGAAATCTGGTGATTGTTCATTACTTTTGAGATTTATTTTAAATGTTTTGAAGAGCAGTCTTCCTTACACTAAAATACTGACTTTTAGGACTACATTTTCACTTGCTGTCAAACATATCCAACCCACTAACATGTGCAACGCGGAAGAAAAAAAAAAACACTTCTTGGTTGGTAATGCCTTTTTTAGTGTATATCATTGGTTTTGGCTTCTAAGTGGTAAAAAGATTCCAACAGCACGGACACTGATCAGAGATAGATTCTAAAAATGTTCCACTGTAAATTAAGAACAGAGAGCTCAATTATGTCAGTCTGAATCTAGTCACACACAAACTTAAACCTATTGTTAAAGATTTCAGGACCATGGAGAGCGACGACCAATGTTACTTAATGTTTGTAACTGAAATCACTAGTTTCTTTGGGTAGGAATTAAACATAAAACTATATATAGTGACCATGTGTTTCAATTATATTGTGCATTGTTAATAATTGTTTACTTATTTAATTTTCCATTTTTATCAAAATCCATCATGTATTATAAACTGAACTTACAGAAAGAAAAAAATATTTAAAAATAACTACATAACGGCTAAACTACCTTTCATTTAGGATTTAGTGATACAAATTCAGCATTTTCTAAAACAAGTCACGACGCATCAACCTTCAGAACCGCTGCCCCTCCTGCCTGACAGAGTTCGGACCCACCCCTTACTGTCTGCCATGACTGTCCTCTACAACACCATATACTTGCTTCTTTGTACCTCCCCTTTCTCGCCCTCAGTCTGTGAATCCCAGCCTCCCTCTCTAGATATCCAACCCACTCCTCTCCGCCCGCAAACGGTTCATACGGTAAGAAAAAAAGAGAACTGTTTCAAACACGTCGACATAAATATAACTACTCGAGCTCCCTTTTATTTCCCCTCGTCCTCCCGACGGACTTCAGTACTTTTATACATTCAGATCTCCTATGCCAGAGACCACTCAGAAAGCACGGATTTTTTCCTCCTGAGCATGAGAAGGATTGCCAAATCATCCGCAATCCAACATCACCGACTGAGACACCAGCATGAGCCCTGGATACATATGCTCCAGCAGAAGTTGTTGGCTAGAGAATTAAGAAATCTTGGAGCACAAATACAGCAAAGAGAGGAGAGTCAGTTTTAGGTAAGTGCGTTTCTTCCGATTTGGACCTCTCACATAACACGACGGCGTCATTTTATACCTATATTTTTGCCCATCGCTGACCACGAGGTTGTGGTTGGGTAGGCAGGGCTTCACTGTGGCACAATTATGGCGATGTTGCGTGGTCAGCATGTTATTAAGGTGGTGGATGGTGTCCTTCTCCAGGTTGGAGGCAAATTTTCCTTTCTTTTTTTCTGACTCCTTCTGGGTGAAGCTACCTTTAAAAATTCGCCCTAGAAGTCCTGCCAAGCTCCGCCCGGGCAAAATGTCGACAAATATCCACCGGGTTAATAATCAAACAAGTCTCATTTAACGCACGCATCTCCAAATCTTATGCAAATGAGTTTGTCTTCCAAATTACGCGCACTCTCCTCTGCGATGTTGCGGGGCAGCATTTCATGAAGGTGATGCGGAATCGCGGATATATCGGGGTATGAAACAGTGACCTCATAATTCTATGCTTGCATGTATTATCATGGGTTTATTGGATAAAAATGATGATTGAAATTGTCTTGATGTCTCTGACCGTTCGCTGAGAAGTCAACAACACTGTTTCTGTTTAAACTCATCCCGGCTGCGCTCTGTTGTGCCTTTTGCCATCCATGTTGATCACTTCACTCCAGAAGCTGGGTTCTCCATCACCCATAACTAATTGCTTGTGCAGTAAAATCTATCAAAATCGCCTTTTTTGTAATTATTATGAATCTTCAGCTTACATGCTACTTGTTTAATGTTTAAAATAAGGTTTGATCTCTGTCTTTGTGTGCGTGCTGGCATGTCCCAAACCTGAGAGCACATTTGTTGTTGCTTTGTGAGCCTGTCATCGGTGAGGCAAACTTGTCGTTCCATCAACTCGCTGTGATTGCTGTTCCGGCTGCTAACTGTGAGGGGAGCTCCTGCTCTTTTACACCAGCTTTAATTATGTGGCCAGAGGCAAGATAACTCTGTATGATACTGATAGCAACACTATGAAATTAGAGAAGCAGCTTTTGTTTGAAATAAGCCCGGAAGCTTTATATGCAATTCCTGCAATTTCTATCTGACATTTTCTCCTTTGGAGAGCTGCCTTGAGAGAAGCGAGAATGTCCTCAAATGCAACCTAAAAGCACAAAGCATTAGTTTGAGTTTAAATAAAAATGTTGATCCTAGTCAATTTTCTCGTCCTCTTCACATGTGCAGAATAAACATTCTGGAAGCTGAAATGTTTGGGAAAAACAACAAAACAAAAAACTGCCTTATCTGGCATGCCTCATTCAATCTGTTGGCCTTTTCAATGGCGCAAAGCTGGCAACATGTAATCATTCCCAAAAGCAAATCTGTCTAAATCACATTTCAAAAATGAAAATGCCAGCCGTAGCTTAAAGCTATATTTGTGTCATGGCTTTAGATGACCCGGTGTTGATCAAGCTTCGAGGGACTGAGTGGAGAACAAGCAGTAGCAGTGGCCATTTCAAATTCTTTCACCATACAGCTCATAAATTAAATGTTTAAAAACCTTCTCGCTATGACTTAAAATCCTACAAAACCTATGTTAAAATATATTAATCTATAGCAAAGTTAACCTTAAGTATTTTTCAAAAGCCATGTTCGACTTTTAAAATTGTCACATCTTCAAGCACTTGGATGCATTTGATAGGGATACCAGTGAATATCATAAAAATAATGCCTTATAAAGTCTTACTATTAGTAAATATGTTCCATGTAGGCACAGCTTTCCCATAAAGACTCCTGCATTTTTAAAAAAATTAATAAACATTTTGTACCATGAATTAGCAGGGTTAGGTTATAAAACAATATCCCAAGCTGTAAACACCCTGGTTGCACACTATAGGTGTGTGTGATTTTTCTTATGCCTATCCACGTTATTTATTTCAAGGCAAGATTGCTTTAATCAGAGAAGCACTCAGGAGACTTAAAACTCTGCAAGAGCTGTAGAGATCCTCATAGTTACGAGAGATAGTCTGTTGATAAAAAAACTTTAATTTATGTTTTCAAATCTCTCATTATATGTAAATATGACAATATGAAAGTCATTGTTGAGATAAATTAAATTATATGTCATGTTTAAAGGTTGCCCTTCTGATATAGGGCCCTAAAAAGCATGACTGAATATCAAATCCTAATCAAAGTCCAAATTAACTTAAACTTGAGAATTTGTAGATAGACTCTAACTTGTTGTCCACAGAGGCTGTACATTTCAGTCTATGCATGCAAAAAAATAGTTTTACTCACAGCAAAACAGGATGATAAAGAATAATACTTATTTATAAACAACAAATATAAATCATGTATTCTTTTTATTATACATTAGTTGATATTAGTCTGCAACACAAAGTCCCTCACAAATACAATATTTAGCTTTTTAGTTGTAACATGAAAAAAGTGTGAAAATGGTTCAGGGGTATTTATTCATTTACAAAGCATTGTATCATTCTGCACATTGTTTCTTCTCAACCTTCCCTTTTTTAAAACAATAATGGTGTTTCCAAACTTTAAAATGGATAGTGAACAACACAAGTCTGGCAGTAAAACTGAGCTCTCTTCCTGTCTCCCTCTCCATCTTAGTATTCTTGTGTTGGTGCACCATTTCTCTTTGAGTGTTGGATACAGCTGTAGTGGCTAGCAGGCTACTCCCCAAGAGCTTTTGAAAGATAACTAGTTTTATTAGAAGCAGACAAAAGGGTCACATAATGACATATGAAAAAAATTCCCCATAACTGGCTAGTCAACAATTTTTTGAAAGGCAGCCTATGCAGTTGACCTCTTCTGAAGTCTGTCTGGTTTGTTTGCTGCAGCTGACAGTTTTATGAGACCACATGGGCCAAGCAGTGTTTTTAATTTTAATAAAAATAAAATACACACCTCATGGCAATAATTAATAGCAAGCAAAGTATTAAATGCATTTTTGCCAACAGAAGATGTTCTAAGAGGAAGCTATGTAGTTCTGAGTGTTTTTGAAAATTTATAAGAGACATTTGGTTGTTATTTATGCTTTGCAGATTTCAAAACAAAATGTGATAAGGTCTGTGAAGTAACATTCATCTGCTTTAAAAGGTAGTTATATCTTTATAACAAGGCATAACCTAATGACTGCACTTGTCAATGCAACATAATATGTGAAACCACAGGCACACTGAAAAAACCCCACCAATCACAACTGTATTACATCAACAGCTTGGAAATTCATTATCTTTAGCCCTTTCGTCCTATTTTTATTTTATTTTATTTCATTTTTTATGTGTCTTATTTAAACAAAGAACCGCATGTTAATTGGGTTTTGGGACTGCAAGTCAAACTGTAAAAGGTCTACAAAAAGATGTGGAATCTAAAAGAAAATACATAAAAACATATTTGGTACTAATTTACTTAGCTTAGGTTCCAAATTGTGTTTGCCAGTAGTTCACTGCAAGCTGATTTCTCCAGCACTAATACATTTGAAAGCAAAGTTTGGCTAGAATGCATTAGCAATGAATTTATATAGAAACAAAATAAAAAGAAAGTTTTTGTTGTATATAATTATCTGCATATGGGAACCTTGCTTTGAAGAACGGTATCTCCGCCTAGCTCATGATACTTGCCAGGTAGGGGAAACACTGGATTGAAAACTGACACTAAACTGAGCCCCTGCCTCCCGGACCTATTATGTACTGCCAGGAAGCTCAAGTCATTAGTGCTCAAACATGATAAAGCTCACAACACAGAAGTAACTACAGTCATTTATCTTGCCTGACACCTCCTCGGTTTAGCTGGCTTAGTGACAGCACTAGTTATGCACTTATTGAAATAATTTCACCTCGCTTTTCAACAGGGAGTGTGATGTCTTGATGTGTAGTGGTCTGTGTTGGTGGATGATTATACACAGAACCTTACTTAATTTTCCTTTCCTTTGGTTCCTGCATTCCCTTCAGCATTAACAATTTCATTTGCTCTTTTATACAGGTTGCCTCTGTAATTAAATACAAAATACATTCCCTTTGTTTAGAAATCTCCTCCAAACTAGTTATTGACGGTTCAACATTGCTAAATGTTGTTGTCTATATTTTCTTAAATTAAATTTGACATCTGACTTAGATATCTTTGGAAATGTATAGTGGTGGTCCATCTAACCAGTACTTTGAATTTGTTTTATTGTATCAAAGTCTTTCAATGTTTTAGTTGTATATAATATTGTTTATATGTGAATGCTCTGGCAAAAGTTTGATTGTCAATAAAAAGTAAATAAACATTTAGATTTTCTTTAAGTGTTATATATCACTGTATTAGTAGATGGCATGTACATGATAATGACATTGCTAAATGCGTTTTAGTTATTTTTCTAATATCAACTGTGTACCAGTTGACTGGACTTTATAATATCAAAGAGGTTCTGTAGTAATGAGGCGGAGAGAATTACAGCCAATCTCACTTTTCTTTTGCTCTGTGAAAGTCACTGCTTCCAGATGTTACCCAGAAAACAAAATATTTCAAAAAGTCAAATGAAGTTACACCGGTGTAGCAATAACTTCAAGGACAGAGGTAAGACTTACTCATAATCAGAGCTATTTTTCTGCACAGATAAAGAAAATGTAAAGACATAGAAATACTGAGCTGTTTTAACATTCCAAGATTTTTTTAAGTAAAATTCAAAACCTCTTGAAAAAGACGTGGAACCTGCTCGCCTCTTTTTACCTCTGCACTCACCAAAACAAAAGATAACATTGCAACTGTTCTCGTATCTGTTATTGTATTAGAGAGACATAAAAGGCTTTAACAGTAACAGTAGTTTAGCATCTAAAAGATTGATTTTTTCGAAAAGGGAGACAACTTGAACTTTGTTTGACTTTCGACCTGTCAGGGAAACAAGTAATACAAAATACAGTAAGGAAGTATGGAGTACTCCTGATCAGAACACATTATTTCCTAGAAAAGAAACTTTTTCTGCAGTATTTTAGCTCATCTGAGACTTATTATATAAAGCCTGAATAGAGATGTGAAATGTACTA